GTTACAATTCGTGAGAATATTATTGTTGAGCGTAATTTACATAGTCTTGTATATTACACCGTTATAATTCGTGAGAACATTATTGTTGAACGTAATTTACATAGTCACAGTTCATAAGAAGTGTTCTTTGTTTTAAGTAAAAGTGAAATCAAACAAAACACGCAACAATAAAAAATTGGCACAATCTTCTGATAGCTGAGAAACCCTGCGTGATTTCAGTTCAGAAATATTATAAACAAAATCATTTTAAAGAGCATAAATTTAAGTTATCAAGAACAACGTAAATCTCAGCTTACATCTGTAAATTGTTATTTTAAGTCACACTTTGCTTAACGAATGTAATGCTTGTAGAAATTTAATACAAATCGTTGCTTGTTTTTAATCAAGCACAAAGCTGCACAATGGGCTATCTGTGCTCTACCCACCACGAGTATCGAAACCCGGATTCTAGCGTTGTAAGTTCGCAGACATACCGCTGTGCCACTGGGGGCAATAAAAATCATATGTTCTGTTTCTAAATATAATAACCATTAGGTAAATGATCGAATATTATTTTATACTTGATTATTTGAAAACATACTCGCTTAGTGATGATATGAAGGTTTATTAAAATCTAATTTTATGTTGTTCGGTCGATTATCATTAATTGCTTTTTTTTTATTATTAATATTATCATTTTAACTTGAAAAATTTCATCTTTTTTTTTATCCAGCAAAGAAATTCATGCAGTTACCATCAATTTCACTATTTCATTAAAACTTTTATTATTATTCCTAGAATACATTTTATACCAGAGAGAGGAGCATGACGACTGGGTGAAAGTCACCCTTCGTTCTCAAGAAACGTCTTATACCGCTAGAGGGCTTAAGTGTGGTTCTAGGTATCAGTTTTATATCGTGTCTGTGAACAGTGTAGGGAGAAGTGAGCCAAGTGAGTTCTTGACTGGTCGTACAGATGGCGCTGGTAAGTTTCGTCTGTCTTTACGTTTATATATACATTTCAGGAAACAAGACATCGTAAATAAATGAAAGACAAAGAAATGTAGGATATAAACAAAGTTCGGGAATGTTAAAATTTACTTTAGTATCACAAATATATGCAGAAAAAAATGATCCACACAACAGATTTCAAAGCTATTCGCAAACCTCATATGTGAAATGAAATTAGAACTAAATGCTAAAGCTTAGAATTTAAGATCAAATATGGATACTCAAGTAAGTCCACACCGTCGTACTTCTAAAACCACCAGGTGGCCAGTTGTGGGAAGATACTCTTATACTCTTAATGAGAATGAAAATCAAGAAAAGAGTCTTTTATATTACACCGTTATAATTCGTGAGAATATTATTGTTGAACGTAATTTACATAGTCTTGTATATCACACCGTTATAATTCGTGAGAATATTATTGTTGAACGTAATTTACATAGTCTTGCATATTACACCGTTATAATTCGTGAGAATATTATTGTTGAACGTAATTTTCATAGTCTTGTATATTACACCGTTATAATTCGTGAGAATATTACTGTTGAACGTAATTTACATAGTCTTGTATATTACACCGTTATAATTCGTGAGAATATTACTGTTGAACGTAATTTACATAGTCTTGTATATTACACCGTTATAATTCGTGAGA